AACATTGAATCAGATGAACCATTACAATTTGTAAGTTATGATAAGTAATAAAACTTACTGATACTTTATATATATATATATATATATATATATATCTATTTCTACCATAGTAGATCAAATGACTCATCTTCAAAAAGTCATGTATTTTACGATGTGTATATAGTAAAAAATATATCTTTTATGCAATAAGAATTCTTGATTCACCAAATAGCTCTATTATTTGTAAAAATGCTGCTGAAAATTTTATAATCAGTTGTTTGATCGATCATGGTATGCGTTTAGTATTATTAATTTTATATAAGCTAAAGCATTTTTTTTTCCTATAGGCTCTCTTCATAAACATATTGTCAATATTCTTCGACATAGTGACTTTATCTGTTTACTTTCCAATTGGTCTAGCATGTAAGTATGTTCAGAAAGTCGTATGCGTGACTAATGGACAATGTATAAAAATTACAAATTGTTTATTATCCTGCCCAAGCAGAAGATGTATCTGATCGCACCAACTTGTAGATGCGTCTGAGAAGTTTAGTGCAGCGTTTATGATAATAAACCTGATCGTGCGTGTTGTCACGAGTATATATCTATTGCGGATAGGACAAGCAAGAGGTGGAAGTCTTGCTACAATGTTTACATCCTGTCCTCCCATGGGTCAGTAGTCCATAGGATACAGATGCGCACTTGGTAGCCTTTTATCGCTTCGACAATTTTCTGCTTTAAGTATGTGCATGGTGAACGCTTCAGTTTTACGTAAAGTATCGTTTATTGTTATCAATGGCCTGTGAATATTTTGTTTTTGTTTATGGTATTTTATGATGATTATTTTATGATAGTTTATGTTTATGCTTGAATAATTTGCTATTATTTCAATGTGCTTCTATAGAAATCTACAGATTGTGTTTTTGGGAGTGAATGTTACTGTAATTTTAATAGTATAAGATAGTATGATTTCTTTTACATTGCAGGTATAACTCGACAGGATTACGAGGACATATCTCAATCGGTACCTCAAAATTCTGATTTCGTTGGAATCTAGATTATTTTTATGGTACATATTGTAAGAACTTATAATGTTTACTCTTGGATTTGTTTTTTGCAAGCGGATCACTTAACATAAGCTTAAAAAATAATATTATAAGTCTCATATGATATTATATTGGGTTGGCAAGAAAGTAATTTCGGTTTTCTAGTGTGAAATAAAACTCAATTGTTTCTATACAAAAAATGAACTTTAAATTAAATACCTACAAAATTTTAACATTAACAAAAGAATAACGAAACAAACATAACGTTATCTATTGATGCAAGCCGAAATTACTTTCTTGCCAACCCAATTAATCTATTACTTCTTGTCTCAAGGGGACAAACAAACGAAAATGTAATTAAATATTATCAAAGATACATACCAGTGCGAACATAATCGATCAGATCTGAAATGTAACTATAGTGCCAAGTTACATTTTAACCGACTATACTTTCGATAAAATATTTTACCTTTTTTTTTTATAGAATTTTATTATTTATGTCGAGCCGTTAATACCAATAATCAATAATGATCTAAATGATATTTATTATTTCTTATCAATATTATTAATTACGTGCATGCATATGGTCTAACACAAACAAGTAATATTATTAGAATTGCATTAAATGTTTCAATTAATTGTATATAAAATACTTCGTAATAACCATGTGTATTTTAACTAATTGTATATATGATAAATTATATATACAAACAGATTTAATATATTATACTTATAGATCTATTCTGTACTACTTTTATCTGCAGATTTGCAAATAAAATTCTTTATAATAATGTAACGCATTGTTCAAATAAATCATTTACTATTACACACACAAATTTATGTTTGAAAATATAAATAAAAAAAAAAAAGAATAAGTAAAAAGATAAAAGAGATATAAAAAAGAACAAAACATATTTATATACAATTAATTGTAGATCAAAAGATAACGTTTTTGGATGTGGCGCTGACCAAACAGTGGCGCTTATACGTTAGCCGCTAGAGGTCAGCAGATTCGAGGTATAAGATCGCCGTTCGTGATACGGTTCGCTTCAGTAGTGTGCGTGACCGTACCGGGAGGAGGGTGGCTCCGTGCGCGGCCACACCGCGAAACCGTGCCCACTCGCCTCAACCACGGACATCCACGCTAGTTTTCTCGTATTGTGAAAACATGGCGGCCAGTGACGACGAGCCGATGCATCTCTACGAGGTCTTTCAAAATTGCTTCAACAAGATTGCCAACAAGCAACCCGGTGAGTCTCGCCGTCCGCGAACTTGCACTATCCCCCCTCCCCTATCCCTGGCTGCTCGCTCACCCGCCTGCCGACTTCCCCCTCTCACCTTCCTATTTTCCCTTCCTCGTCGTCCCTTGTTAGGCGAGAGACGAACCTTGGTTCATCTCCTCGATGTCTTCGTTGTTGTCGTCGTCGTTACTGTCATAGTTGTTGCTGTCACAGTCGTTATTGTCATAGTCGTTGTCATTGTCATTGTCATCATCGTTGTCATCTTCGATAGAAATGGTTGCGTTGTGTCTGTTACATTTCGTGTTGATTTTATCTTATACTTAAATAAGAAACGACACTACTAGTCGTTTCTCTCGTTCTTTCTGTCTCTCTTTTTCTCTGTCAGTTTCTCGATCTCTTTCCTCCGTCTTTTTCTGCCTCTGTCTCTCTTTCTCTTTCTGTCTATCTCTTTCACTCTTTTTCTCTCCCTCTCCCCCCTCTCTCTTTCGTTCATCTTGCTCTAATCGAAAGAGCCGTGCGCCGTTTTGTCTTGCTTCTCCACGCGCGCGTCGACGTAGAGATGAGTAGTAGTGTCTCTTCGTCGTCGAAGGCAAAAATGTTATCTTCTCTCTTTCTCTTTTTTCTTCGTTTTCTTTGCCTTCTTCTCTTTATCTCTCTTTCTCTATCTTTTTTCTCTCTCTCTCTCGCCCGCTCTCTTCATCTCGTCGCGTCGTCGCTCGATCGAGCTCTCTTCCCCTCCTACCTTTGTCTTTCTCGCTCTATATCGTTTCTCTCTTTATCTATCTATCTACCTATCTATATTTCTATCTATCTATCTACGTACCTATGTATCTTTCTCCCTATCTATCTATCTGTCTTTCTCTCTCTCTCTCTCTCTTTTTCTTTTCTCTTCGTCGATCTCGCGCGTTGGACGATCTCGTCTCACAGTTTACTCTAGAGGATAGTCGACCGTCGTGTTTTGGTTCTCTCGACTGTCAGTGCCCTGGACGGTGCTGCCACGTCGAAGATTCGTACTAAAAGAGCTGGAGAGCATCGTTCTATTTTCTTTTTATTCTTATATTATTTTTTCCATTTTTTCTTCTTTTTCTTCTGCAACGAATGCCGTATACATTAACTTACAAATGTTATCCTATAGGATCTAATGGTTCTCATGTTTCGTTAACAAAATTGTGAAGAAAATTGAACAAGGTAGATGATTTGTCATATAAGTGAATAATATCGAGAAAATGATCATTGGACGATAAAATTTAAGGAAAAGAAGAAGACGATGAAGAAGAAGAAGAAAAAAGATCGTTTCGATTTCCGAAAGGATGAAAATTATCGTCATCGTCCTCGTCATCGTCGTCGTCGTCGTCGTCGCGGTTGTATTCGTTGTCGTCGCCGTTATTGTTTCTCCTTTACCCTTGGTCGCCACGTGCCTCTTCGTGAGCGAAACATTCGAATCGTTAGAGTTTAATCGTTCGAAATTAATGTAAGAGCCCATAAATCCGAGCCTTTTCTCGGCAGTTATCGCGGGGGAAGGGACTCTCTCCGGCCTTTGCGTTGTTTTCTTCCTTTATTTTTCCCTTTTCATACACCTGCCAGAGGAGCAGCTCGAAAGCGATGCGCCGCGTCGTGCGTTGCCTCCAAAAGTGGTTCTCAACCATCTCTCATACTCTATCTRTCTACCTCTTTAACTCTGTGTCTTTTCAGTAAGGTGACCATACGTATCAGTTTTATCAGTACAGTACTGGTTTTTGGTCATTTGGTCTGATTAATTTTAAAATCTAACCAGTACAGTGGTTCGAGAAATTATTTAAAAAAAGGAACCCACAACATAATTTTCAAGCACCAGAACTAATTCTATCCCCGAAAGTTTTAAAATACTAATCATATCATTTGTTGTTTTTTTTTTTGCAAAATTACTTTCATAATATATTATCTACCAAGAAAATACAAAGATACTTTTTACTCGACTCAATACATTCGTTTATCCATTAACACTTCGAATGCCAAGTGTATTTCACTGGTAAAAAAAAAAGACAAGGACATATTGCTCTAAGTGTTTTTTTCAACCCCATCTATGTTTAGATTGTTTTTTTTACTATGTAACTGTGAACGACACAGTTGCACAATTTTTTTTCTCACTATGTTATTTTAATAAATAATATACGATCTATTCTGTTATATTACCTTTTTCTATATTTTATATTACTTAATGAAATAACATAAAATAACAAAATATTGTCGATGTAAAATTATTCAGAAAAAGAAAGAAACTTTTGAGACGAATCAATAGATATTTGTTTCATATATAATTAATCTTATTAAATTTTATCTAAGGATATTTTGTATAAGATTTAATGTATTTTTGTCTAGAATGGTACGATCAATCAATTCATGAATTATCTTCGATTTTGGTATATCAAATTAAGCGTATTAAATATAATCGGAGTACGTGATTGTACGTTAAACCAATAAAAACATCTTTTGTCATCTTTCATCGAGAGAAGAAGAGACACTAAGAACGTGACGAGGGACTAATGTTCTACAAGGAATTTGTCACTATATCCAATTTGATTAATCGTTACAATCATCGTTAATCATTCGTTTACGAAGGTAGTGAAAAAGATGTTGTTTCGATAGTTCTCTTAGAACGTTTATGGAAGTTTGTACCGTAGACGAGATAGTTGGTTAACCAAGTCTGGAATGTTTGTTTGGTTTGAGATGTTGTTTGGGAAATGATGCGTACTACACTTTGTAATCTAACAATAACTTAAACTCGAAAGAACTTCTTTGAAACCACAAAATTGTTTTGAGACATTCTATTCCTGTGTTTCTTTTAAATCCTTCGAAAATACGCATCATCGTATAATAGACTTGCTAAATTAAATTTATGTATTAGTGTTAAAAAAATCATACAACTTTAGATGAAGATAATTTGTTCTTCAATTTTCATTCTGCTACCAATTATGAAAGTAATTATATTTTTAGTCCAAAGCTTATAAAAATATGTATCGTTTATTTTGTTTTATATCGATTTATTGCTTGTGAAAATGTGATGACACCATATTAGACGTAGTAATTATTTCAGTGCCTTGATATTAAATTCATTTCATCAAAATCATCTTTTTCTTTCGTTAAAGAATTTGTCAGTTGCTTGAAAGATAATTATACGTAGATAGAAAGAAGAAAGGGAGAAACAAAAATTCTACTCTGATATAAAAAAGTAGAATTTTGTATATCATACAAATATAAATGAGTGAAAATTGTTAAATAAATTAGATTATTTATCTTGCGCATTAAAACATTATTAAATACAATCTTAACATTTTCTAATATCGGTGATAATAGCAAAAAAGAAATTGGCTAAATGTATGCTTATTTATCTATAAAATATATGGTGTAAATTGGACAAGAATTTGTTTCTTTCTCTTGTTTTCTATCTCTCTCTTTCTTTTTTTATCGGTTACGCCTTATCGTTCCTTCGTAAAATCGTCATCGTTTCTCGTGATACGCGTGATCGATCCGCAGAACAGTATTTTATCAGATACGAAGTGTACACACACTAACACGCACACACTGTCACGGTCGAAGCCAATCAAACGATAAGCGTCTCATTGTCTACTCGAATTTCATAATTAACTTTCGCGAAGTTTTCGAGATAGTACTGCAAAGTAATTTAACGAGAACGATATTCTCCTTCTCGTGTATTAACGATCGAAAATATTTCCTCTAAAATTTTCGTTCAACAATTCGAGACTATCGAATGATCGAATAATCTTTATATCGTTCAAAAAAATCACATTAATTTATAGAAAGTATTGAAACGTGTTTTATATCGATAAGAAAATTTTACGTGTAAAGATATCTTGTTTCTTTCTTATTTTTTTTGTCTTTTGTTCTTAAAACTCGAATAGTCGTCCGTCGAACGAATGAACGAACGAACGAACGAACGAATGAACGAACGAACGAACGAACGAACGATCGAATTCGATTGATGGGCCGAATCAAAATCGGAATATTTCATCGAGAATAAGAGACACGTCGATGAAATATACAGTTTAACGAAGCCACGCGTTATTCATTCGGGTTCGGGTACGGGTTCCGCCAATAGATATGTATATCGAAAACGTCGCGCGTATCCTATGTATGATACAACGCGCCCACGTACAAATTCGACCTTTCCGATATATGAATTATGCATACGCGGCTGATATTTATTTTCCGGAAAATTAATTATTTTTATTTTCCCGCCGGTCGCGGCGAGGACGCGCTAATCCAAATGACCGGGACGGGATGATTTCGATCGAACGTTCTCTCTCTCTCTCTCTTTTTATTTCTCTTTCTCTTTCTCATAAATATTTATCTCCGTTAACGAACCGTTCGCGAAAGACCTATGCACTTTTTATTATTTTCGTTTGTTCGTTCGTTCGTTTGCTCGCTCGAATCACTGATTAAGTTTGATAAAATCTCTCAGATTTTGAATATTTCTTTTAAACAAATTGAATTGATCTATGAATCAATCTATCACTCTGTTTATCAATTTATGGATCGATCTATTACGATTTTCTTCATTTTCAAGAAAGAAAAGAGTGCGAACTATAAAACTCGATTAGGTAAAAAAGGGGGTGGGTGGAAAAGGGTGGGGTTTTCAGAGAGGAGGAGGAGGAGGAGGAACTTTCACGTACACTTGCCAAAGTGGGATCGCTTCTGGATTTGGCCGCGAGTAATACCTACAAGGGGCCATTTGCATAACAATATGGATCGCTTTTATTTGCATTTCTATTCATAGACTTCTTTTTCTTTTTTTTCTTTTTTTCTTTTCCTTTTTATCCTCCTCTTCTTCCCTTGTTCATCGGTGAACGCGCGAAAGGACCGACGTAACTTTCTCTCGTCGAAGCTAAGAAAGGATAAAAAGTAAAAGATTGTCGTTTGGGGTCCGAGAGACCCCACGCTGCCACGACGGACTTTTCGAAACTCTCCCCTTCCGTACCGAATGAGAGAGCTCGAAGGAGCATAAACGAGCT